AACTGAGTGTCCTTTGGAAGAAGCAATATAACGTTTAAGCTTTACCATAACTTATAACAGCTTTTTCCAACTTGGTGCTTTCCAGCCATTTTGAACAATTTCCAGAATATCAAATACTTTAACATATCTGAAGGGTCCCCTTTTAGGGAAGGCTTGCTGATAACGAGGGCACAAATGGCTAATGCATGAGCATTTTTATTTCAGAAAGGAATATACATCAACGTTTTCGTTGCAAAAATTCCCACAAAAAAAAATGAAACTAGCTCCTTACTTGGTCTACGTTCCTTAAAATAGTAACAACTGCTTTGAGTTTTCAGATTTTTAACTTTTCTTTGATTATTTGTCACTCTCTAATTTTAAACTGTAAACTAAATAGTATACTTTTCATAAGTGCCTGCATTAGTGCCCAGTTCTATAAAAAATACAGAACTAAAAACACTAAGCAAACCAAAAACTAGAAAGGAAATATAACACAACAGATAATCAGCAAAAATATTTCAGATCATTTTAAAAACAAATTACAGGGAAAAATTATAAAGTACTGGTTTACCAGGAACGAGGATTCTGCAGCTAAGATGCCACTATCAAGAATTCTTTTTTTTTTTCTCCATACCACAGAGGGATACTGTTGGTGGGATCTCAAGCAAATCCTCATAGTAGATCATAAACAATGTTCAGCCAGTACTGGAGAAACTGCCAGTTGTGCGTATCTGAGTTCTTCATGATGCAGAACTTTATAATAAGTAATGATTTATTTAATGATATCTGATATCTTACAAGCAACCAGTGCAGCTTCTGGATTGTCTTCAAGGACAGCCCATGCAGAATTTATTAAGGAATATTATTGTAAGATTATTATGGAATAGATTATTGAAGCCATGCTGCTCCCACCAATCAAGAATGAACACATCTTACCAATGAAGTACTATCCCAGGGGTCTTCAAACTTGACAGATTTAAGACTGGTTGACTTCAACTCCCAGAATTCCTCCTCAGTCATGTTAGCTCAGGAATTCCAGGAGTTGAGATCCACAAGTCTTAAACTTGCCAAGTTTGAAGACCCTTGCACTATCTACTGCTTTAGTTTATCAATCTGTCAGTTTATTGGCCTTCTTCCAGTCTATCCTGTTCCTATTCAACATCTGCACAGCCTATTCTAATTCTGAAGGAATTGTTATGTTGATAACATATCCGAAATCAATATCATATAGATATTAAACAACAAGAGGAAATTTTGCGGAAGGCCTACAAACTCTATTGCATGGTCAAGCAGAATATTAATGATTCTGCTGATATTAAGGACTAATATATCTGATATCCTAATAATTGCTTTTTTTTTCTTTTTTGAGGGAACATGTCCTGTATATCACAGCCTTCATCATACCTTCCAGGGCAACTTACAAAATCAATATGAAATAAAACAAATGAAGAAAAAGAATATCAATTAATCATAGTATAATTGTGCTGCTGTTCTGCCATTCTGACATAGTCAAGCAACACAGCTCTGCTATTTACATTCATAAAAATACATTAAGCTGTCTGATTTCTAAAATTCCTTGCTTCAGCTCCTGATGCTCACTCTGATGGTCCTGTTGCTCCTGAAGGGATCCTGGAGATTGTTTGTCCCCAGTTTTTAGACATAAGACACTGGGCTGGAAACCAGGAGACTGGGAATTCTAGCATTATTTTAGGCATTAAAGCCACTCGGGTGACTTTGGCCAATCACTCTCTCTCAGCCAAATTTACCTCACAGGATGGTGGTTGTTGTGGGAAAAAATAGGAAGAGGGAGGAGTATTGTGTATATTTGGTATATGCATATTTGTTATTTATTAAAATAATAAAGGTAAGGTAAAAAGAATCTAAAAAAAAAACCCCCAACAATATCCTGGGTCCATCAATGAAAGCCATTAATTCAAGAAGCAGATTTCAAATTAATGCTGCTAAAAGCACAAGCAATCACTCTATTTACAACTTTAATTTAGATTATTTCTTTTTTTAAAAAAATTGAGAAATGAAAAATTGTAAATATGCAAAGTTAATAGAAGTGACATTTTGTTTTTCTGTTTCATTAAGATGGTGCAGTTAAAGTCTTATAATGAATTTTCTATGGCATTGCTGCATATAGTATCCACATTCATCTATAACAGCTGTGAGCCTGAACTACATTCCCTAGTGCTAGAACTGCCATCCTGCTGGCTGCATCTCATCAAATATCCCATACAAGAAAGGCACCATCATCACTCAGACAGAGAGAGATGAAGAAAAGGAGGACCAATGAGGATGAAAGAATAACACAGAAAGAAGAAAATTAAACTGTTATCTTGTTTCAAAATAGAGCCATACTATTCACACCATGAAGCCACTTCCCCCCAGCATGTGAAGATCATACGACTGAAATTTGCCAGCAAAATGGCTGATTTTCTACAGAACACATTGGAACTGGGTGGTATTAAGAAAACAGAAATGAGAGTGTTTTCCTTCTGTTAGGTGTCTCTCACTCTCAACTCTTAGCCGCACTCCTATCAACTGAGGAGCTCTGGGAGAAGCAGCAGCAGATGTCTGGAGCAACAAGGGCATAAAATAAAGAATGAATGTGATGTGGCATGAATAAGAGCTCATGCTTAAGCTTGCACTGTAGTGGCAAGATCTGTGAATTGTTTGCTTTGATTGCATCGGTAGATAGATGCCCACTAGCTTTGTTTAATATTCTCTAGACCATGCTAGGAAATGCCAAACTGAAAAAGGGGCTGCTGGGCACTGCAAATAATTTGATAACATTTCTCACATCTGTTTGGAGCTTGACACCAGTTGGCCAAATCCAGCTGAGGTGAAAAAAGCCTCGTGTTGTCATGTTATTTGGGATTGGTATGAGTCTGTGGATCCCGAGGAAATGCTTTGTGCTAACAGCTTTGTCACACATAAACCATATCCCCTGCCCTATCTTGCTAGTGAAAGCTGGCAGGGAGATGATGGAAGGCTGAGTTTGGGCAGAGGTGAAATCATCTTTGAATAATAGGCTCTTTATCTCTGCCTTGGAAAAAGCAATGGTATACCCTCTCCTCAAGAAACGATCACTATCTTGGACTATTATTTACTACCTACCAATCTTTTGTTCACACAGAAGGTTAAGAAAATTATAGAGCTGCAGTTCCAGATTGTCTGTATCCTTTCATGTGGGATTCACATGAAATGTGAGTATGGAATAATCATTGGTTGCTTAGGTTGATCATCACTGGTGGGACTAGGATGGAGAATTCACCTTCCCTGATTCTACAGTGTTATATCTCTCAGCCTCCTTCAATACCATCAACCATAGTTTCCTTCTGAGGCTGCTGTAAGGCCAGAGGTGGGAGGAACTGTTTTGAAGTGGTTCTCCTCCCTCTTCAGTGAATAGACCTAGACTAGAAAGGCTATGTTCTCAGGGTCTAGTTAGTAGAGAGGCTATGTCCTTCCTTAGGTAGGGGTCTCCAACCTTGGCAACTTGAAGCAAAGCTGGCTGGGGAATTCTGGGTGTTGAAGTTTTGGCTTCAAGTTGCCAAGGTTGGAGACCCCTGTCCTCAGGCATTCTGGTGTGCCTGAGCTGTTTCTCCCTTCAGTTTAGCATCTGCAAAAAGTCATTCACCAGCACAGGGTGAACTAACACCAAAATGTGAATGATACTCAGGAGATACAGTGTAGGTTTGACCTGGTGCTTGGAGGCTATTGTGCTCTGGAAGAGCTAAAACAAGGTTAAGATCAACCCTAGAAAGATGGCAGTAGATTAGAAAGCTGACTAAATATGGAGTGTACAAAGGAGGGTTTGTCCCTTGGGAATGCAAATAAAATTAGAAGTGCCCAAGAATCCCTAACAGACTTGCTGAAAAATAATTAACAAAGAAAATATTTTTGAGATTATGTTGATGGTATATGGATACTTGTCCCCTAGTTGGAGACAAATATCACAGAGCACTTCTCTATACAGAAAGGGTGACAGAGAAACGAACACCCCACTCAGAATGGCAGTAACATTAGTTTAATATTTTTATTGGGGGGAAAATGCCTTTGTCAGCAGGGTTTAATTTCCATTAAATCAATTTACTACAGCTTAATTTGCATGAAATTAAATGCAGTCCTTATTCAAAGAACCATCACTCCCTTAAATCATTCAGCACTGGGAACTGATCATAGGCCTAATTAAAAACTTGACTGGAGCCATGCCCATCTATTCCCCTTGTAACATTCAGTAGGTCTGACAAGAGCCTTTGGTCTCTGTTAACTTACTTTGCATTCCTAAGGGACCATTCTTTGCTAACTTGGCAAAAGTATCTTCCACTTCTGGCCCTGTTATGCGAAAACCCTTGTGTTCCTGGAATCAGGACCAGCGGGTTCAGTTGTCCTTTTGAAGCTCATTTAAGAACTTATATTTCTGTGAGTTCAGAAAAACAACAAGGAAAAGTTTTCTGGCCAATAAGACGAAGAAGCTTGAGGTGTTATTTATAACTGTAAATATCTCATTTTTCAGGGGACCCCCCCTCCCCAAATTTCAATATGTATTGAGGATTAAAAAAGGTTTCCCGCTTCATACTCAAACCTAAGAATTTGGAGCTTTAGTATGTATTTGGTGTCTTTTGTGTCTGAAGTTGAATGGCAGCCTTGTTTACATTCAGACGAAAGGCTCAGTGGACAGCATTCTTCCGGAGAACCATAGCTTGTTAGAGAAATACATCTTGAGAAAGAAAATCGCTGCTATTTCCATATAAACAGGTGAGATAGTAAATGATGGGCAATTTCTTTCTTTGCTAAAAGCCAGAGGACTGCTCCTAGTTAGAGAACAGTCCTGAGCTAGTCTGAACTGGCATTAGATTTGTAATAGTGATGTTATTTCTGGTGAAAGATAAGTTGATGGGCTATCTTTCCATGGATTTTCCCAGTGAGTTCCCTAACTAAAAGGCTTACAGGAGCCATGCTGATACATGCTATTATCTCTGATCCGAGACAATGCAACTAAGTGGCTCACTTACCTCTTTGATTCTCTCCAAAAGCGGGAGCAGCCAGTCCTTGTTCACTTCACAGTGACTGTCTAGAAAGGTAAGAACCCCTGCCTGGGCCACATCTGCTCCTCGAATGCGGGATCGGATCAAACCTGTAACAGCGGACATGAACTCAAACATAGGTCTGGCTGATGCAAATTTCTAAGCAAGACTTTAGTTGCTAAACAAGCACGCAGATTCTTCAACTTAACTCATTTTTAGCACAACATGAGTGCTACCTTTATGGACTTAAAAATGATATGCCATTTTTAAGATGTCTCAGCCCAGTTACTTTTCTGCATTGCAAGATCAGTGGCCCAAAGAAAAAGTTTGTCTTGGGCAAAAAAACCCAGTATGATCATTAAAACCGTCTGCATGTATATAATTCTTTCCATTGCTTCTGCAAAGGGAAGACAAGATACCAAAATGCTGGCTCTGAAGAATAATATCATGTAACTAGAACAATCCTCCTTTTTTGCCTAAAATACAGTTTAAAACAAGGTTTTCAGACTTTCTTAAGAAAAATCTAAGGATAAATACTTCTTAACCGGGATGGGATCACTTCCCTAACTACAGCTTCCTGTAAATTAATCTGCAAAGGCAAATTGCTTCAAAAACAAACAGCAAATACAATTTGTATTGCAGAAACAAATGACAAACACAAATTCCCAGCCTGCAATTGCTTCCCTCAATTACAGGAATTTTCTGATGCACTTTGTTTTTCATTAATGGAGAGCTAAATTTATCTTTTGCAACAATTCTAATATGGCAGAACATTGAAAGAACATGGCAACAAGATATAAATATTAATTAATAAATCAGTAATTGGGGATGGTGAAGAAATTATAATATTACATGAATAATACATTGAGGCCAACTTATAATCAACAGGGATAAGATAAAAGGTTCCTTTTTATTCTTTTTTTTAAATAAATTGTATTCAATTTTTCATATTAAAAACAAAAATCTCTTTTTAGTGGACAACATATTTCCGGATCATCACCTTTACATAAAAATATGAAAGCAATTATACATTCATATATGCATACTTAATTCTATTATTACCTTTTACATTCCAAATTTTCAGTAAGGAGAGAAACAAACACATTAATTCTAGCCTCTTTCATTAATCTCAATCGAAACATCTTTTTGTTTCATTTCAATTATTTCAAATACAATCCTTTAATATTTATTTTAAAAATAAAGATAAATAAAATGTGTTTGCCTAATAATAATAATAATAATAATAGGTTACCAATGTCTCTCCTTGCTTTTAATAGTCTATATGAACTTATTAATTTAGTTGGTTCTTTAGTCTGTCATATTTCCTTTCCATTACACATTCTTTTTATAAATTCTAGATTAATACAAATTTTAACACTAAAGAAAAAAAACAAGTATAGGTTTCCCCTTTTACTGCTTTGAGTGTGACACCTCAATGATTAAAATATACCTTTATTCCCTCAACTTGATTCCCAATAAACCATTATTTTTAAGAAGTTGCAATAATAATCATTACATCTTTTCATTTGGATTCCGCAGCATATTTCCCACCCTTAATTTTTAATAAAAGTTATCAGTATCTATATTACCCTATTTTCTAAATATTTTTAATTGCAGAAATATTCTTATTACCCCTTGTCACCCTGCAGAATCCCTTTTAATTCATCAACCATTATCTCTGAAAAAAACAATTTCTTTTCAATGTTTTACTATTTCCGTATTTCTTTATTTCATGCACCTGTTTCTTACTGTTTCTCGTCCCCCTCTTTTCCACATATCTTTTCTCATTCCAGTTTATATCACTCTCTTTCATAATATTTTCCTTTCCCCTTTTCTGCTGGGTCTTTCTGCCTTTCCCGACTTTACAGGTATTCCCCCTTTTGATTACCTTCTTAAATCTCAACTTTTTAACCTTCCTTCTTTCCCCACTTCTTTGTAGTGTTCTTTGTGTTGTCTATTTAAAAGTCTTCTCCTTGACTCGGCTCCTCCTCCTCTGAAGCTCTTTCTTCTTGTTCTTCAATCGACATTTCCATTTTTTCCAACACAGAACAAAGTGATTCGTCTCTTTCTTGTAGTAATTCTCTCATATTTTTAAGTTCCATTTTTAATTCCCGAAGAGATATCATCATTACACACTCTTGTATTTTATGATCGTTAAAGTCCACAAAAAAACCGTTTTTACTTTCCTTCTTTCTTCTTTCAATTTTCTAAAGTTCCCAATTATTCCAGCCCAGGGTCTATACCAAAAACTTCAATCAATCCCACAGTCAGTGTTTCCTTGCTTTTTTCTTTATTCTGGTTCTGCTTTCACTTTCTAAGATTCTTACTTTGTTTCAATATTTCTTTAGTGTTATATCCACACAAGTTCATTCAGAAACAGGATGCTTTCCCTTTTGTTTGAGCTCAAGTTTTTGTCAAAAGGTGGCACTCTCCATTATACAAAGTCTTCACTTTTCCCCCCTATTTTTTTGTTTAGGGTTTTTCAAACCTCAATATTCCAGCACAGTCCAGTCTCCAATTTGTAAACTTTATTATTATTATTATTTGACAATCTTAAATCCAGCTTTATTTTATGCCTGTTTATTGCCAAAATATTTTAGTCCAATTTAGTTAAATTTTTAATTCCAGCTTTTTCCTTTCCCAGTTTGAAGCCCCGCTTAGCTGTCAAAAATATTTTCTTATTTTTTTTCCTGTCCCTTTGTAATTTCGCCGCTCACTTTTCTTTTCTTAAAAATTCCATGTTACCTTAATCCCGGGGTACTTTTGTTTAGTTGTATTGCCCAATTGTCCCGGTTCAGATGTTATCCACCTCTTTCTTCCCTCCTGCACAAAGCTTAATCCAGCTGAGTCCTCCTTTTCAGGGTGGCCATTTTAAACCACCGCTGCAGTCATCTTCAGGGGGAAAAAGACCAAACCCAGGGGAGAGATGCGGCTCCCCTCAACTGGCTTGCGGCTTCCCCTTACTCCGCTGCCCCTCCAAGGCATCTTCAGCCCCTAATCGTAATGATCAGGGCTCTCCAATAAAAGAGCATGGACCATAGCCACAGAGAGTCGCGATCTACGGTCTGTCAGCGAGGAGGCTCTGCCTTCTTCCCAGGTTCCTTTTTATTCTTAAGTTTGATGGGTATTACTAAGTTATCATAAGGAGAAAGGTATATCATTTTTATACTGAATGGCAATTTTAATTAAATCACTTGATTTTGCAATATTTGTTTCAATAGAAAAGAATGTCTATAGTTCATGGTTGAGATCTCAGTACTGTCTGAGTTTGGTTGTTGGCTTGAAGACATTTCATTATCCAACTATGTAGTATCATCAGTGTGAATGTGGGGTTTCCTGTCTGTCTATATACAATAGCTTTCCCTGTGTATTCCCAGACAATCCTCATAAAACATACAAGGCACACAGAACACTGACTTTGTTTACATAGTCACACTGTCTTCAGTTTGCTACTTTGAATACCTCAAAGCTTTACTGGAGCCTAATAGTCTCATCGTGCAATTGTAGAGTTCCAGTGGCTAAACAAATTTCCAAGGAAGTTGCTTTCATGGTCCTCAGGAGGTTTGTTTAATTAAAGAAATGGTACAGGAAATGACATGCTTTACAAAGCAAAACTTTCATTTTACACCTTGGATTTCTCCATATGGATTTGCTTCATCCCATTTCTCCTGTTTTCTTAACAAAATTACACCTAGAATATATTTCTTAGTTGGACCCACACAGCAAAAGATTAAGTGGTCATTGTCTTGTTGGGTCAACAAAGCCATCACAATCAGCTGTAATATGAATGTTGTGGTATCATTTGTAGCATAAGAATTGAGTTCTGTTAATGTGAAGTTAGAATCTCACTTGTATGAATACATCCATCAAGAGGTAAAGCGTAAGTTCAGACATGGTTTTAATTGTATTAGGCAACCAAATATTATTGGTTTGAGGAAGTCTGGATTTAAGTGGAATGACTATACATTCTGTTCCATAAAACAGTCTTGATTAATATTAGTTCTTTTATGTGTTCTTTTATATTTTTATATGTAGGCTGGAATGACCTTGAGGGACAAGAGAGAGAGAGCCACAGAATGGGCAACTGGCAAGTAAAAGATGTCCCAGCCCACAGGAGAAACAGAGTGGGAAATATTTTAGAAGGCACTCTCCCTAGTTTTCTGAAGAGTAAAATTAAAGGGGGAGAGAAATATGTTCAATCTTCCAATGTAACTTTACAATAAAGATAGAATTAGTGTTTGTGTGTCTTGTCTGGACTATCTCAAAGGTCAAGCATATGGATAATAGCTTTGGGGAAATGGAAGTGACTATTCCTTTCCCACCATGACCTGAATTATTTTTTGTAAATCCTGTTTTTCACCCAATTTAAATAATATCACCTTGGGTGGCTTCACATGATGCAAGCACAATCCGGATAACATTTCCATATTGAGGCTTATTCACTGCATAGATTAGCTCCCTGAGTTGCTCTATGATTGATCTCTGTTTCAACGCAACCTGCCATTTTGGGGTAACATGGAGAAAACATTATGGATTCTTCAAAAGGAATAAAAGGAATCTACAAAACCAAATAAGCCAAGCTTTAAAACAGGATCTGAGCCAGAATCAGACCTCAATAGCCCAGAACCTTCTGTTAAGAATTTAAAATCCTAGATGTTTTTATTTATTTTATTTATTTGTCAAAATCTTAAAATATAACAGAAACAAGAATAAACATAAGTTTAAATACAAGAAATAGGAACTGATAATTGGGGACAATAAAACAGGGACGGTAGGCACGATTGTGCGCTTATGAACACCCCTTACAGACCTCTTAGGAATGAGGTGAAGTCAATAGAGGTTAGTTTGAACATAAAGGAGTGGGGGTTTGAGCAGGTGACAACAGAATCAGGTAGTGAGTTCCAGACATTGACCACTCTGTTGCTGAAATCGTACTTCCTGCAATCAAGGTGGTTTACATTTAGTTTATATCTGTTGTGTGCTCTTGTGTTGTTGTTAAAGCTGAAATATTCATTAACTGGTAAGATGTTGTAACATATGATTTCGTGTACTATGCTTAAGTCCAATCTTAGCCGGCGTAGTTCAAGGTTATCTAAGCCTAGAATTTCAA